TCCCCCATGAAAGGGAGGGGCAACTGTACACAGGAAAAAGAGGTAGATCATTAAAATAGTTACTGTTATCTTTCAGTCTTCATAACTTTATATTAATAGTGTTGGAAGCTGGCTGTTCCTTCTGTGACCAAAGAGGATACAAACAGGATAATATGTCAAGCTGTTTTGGATCTGACTGTGTTCTGCAGATATTGTCATCTGCAACCAGCATTTCTTTTGCACTATGGTTGTGGGATTCACTAACACATATAAAGTAATGCTTTCATCACTAGATTTTGTAATAACATTCACTATCACATAAATTTTCCCAGTTGTGGTTTGCTCTAGAGTGCCATCACACCTTGAGGATGGTGTCTGCATATCTTTAGTTGAAGTCTCAGGAACATGGTCTCCATCACTTTCCATGCTGCTGTGCTGCACTGCTTGGTCCACTAAAATCACATAGTGACAGGCAGATCAGGGAGAAATGTTTTCTTGGAGAAGGCCCTCTGGCTTCTTGTGCAATAGGGGAAAATGTGGAATAAAACTTGACTCTTGACATCTTCCATTTGATCTGAAAATCAAATGGGGCTATTAGAACAACAGTCTCCAAATCAAATGGCTAACCACTTTGCATCTCCCCACCAATTATGGAGTTAGCTAATTTTAGCCTTTAGATGAGCTTTTCAAATAGTCCTATATATTCATTTACCTATTTCAAAATATGGTAAGTCAGCCTTACTCCACTCCACTCTACTCCTTATTATCCTATCTTTATCAAGGCCCTCTACAACCTTTTGTGGTTGCTACAGGAATTATTGAGAGGCAGAAAGATTGAGCCGGCAGAGGGGATATGCATTTTCCTGGAGCCAATGGTTAGTTTGGCTAGTAAAGGTGTGAGAGCTGGCCCTAATGTTAGCTGGATGTAGTAGGCAACTGTGGTGCGCTGGGCAGGAATTTTACCCAGGAATCTTTTGGGAGCTGCACAGGCTGCCAGAAATGCCCCCTAATAGGCAAAGCAAATGCCCAGAAGTGGCCAGGCTATTCTTCTCTCCTCGTAAAAGTGTTCTGGCTCCAATGTATGCACTGATGTCAGAAGCAAGTGAGCCTGCTGCTATGCATCAACTTCAGCATGTTTTTCTCAGTAATGATGTTGTGCTGGTATGCTTTTGTTGCTGAATCAGGCTGACATTCTGCTTGGGACATATGCTTTTGTAAATGGTCTTATATGCGTGCAAAATTGAATTGAGTAATTTCACAGCATCTGTATTTACCTTGGGGCTGCTGTGATGTTACAACGTAGCCATGGCTGTTGTGCAGTGGTAGCCAGTGGAATGACTGATGCACCACACCGATGTGCATAGAGGCACTCCCTAATGTACTTCTGGGCATTGGTTAAGAAGTGCTAATCTGCAGTATAAGCATTGAATTCACATCAGAAGTGCCTAATATATACATTAGAACTATCCAATGCACATCAGACCACTCTTGCTGGTTCATCTTTACAGCTCACTGTCAGAGTTTTGTTTTGTTGCTTTGCATTTCTGCAAAACTGCTATGGATTTGTAAAGTTATGAAACACAGTTGGGTGTGTATGTATGTGCCTTCAAGTTATCTGTCAACATGGCAACCCCATGAATTTTATAGGGTTTTCTTAGGTAAGCTATGCTCAGAGGTGGCTTTGCCAGTTCATATGAAATGTAGTCTACAGCACCTGGTATTATGGTTCATAAAGTTAGAAAAATGTGTTAAAATCCTTTTTGTTAGCATACTTGACATACCCCGCATTATATTTGTGGTTTCCATATTTTCATATCTGGAGCCAGGAATGTTTTGAGAGGTCACAATGGCCTTTGAAATGCAGGGAAGTTTCACATGGGAGAGGATTGAAGACCTAAAGATATGTGTAGGACACAGATAATCCTGCAATAAAAGCTGAATGGGTTTGCCGATTGCCCTGTCCTCCCCCCCCCTCTGCTCTCCAGATATCTCCACAGACAAAAGCAACAGCAAGTAAGCCAACACTTCCTCATGACCCCCTGATATGTTCCTAGCCAACTTCCCTATCCATCTGTCCTGGTGGTGTCCTAAATCTAGCTGTTGTTTTTGTAACTCTAAAGTTAACTCCTTCCGCCATTCCAAAATCCAATTGTTGATTCCACAAGAAGATCATCAGGTTTTTGTTACACTGCAAGGACGTTTTCACACGGGGCTTAAGGCAGACGCAATCCTACCTCCATTCGGCCCCAGTCCGGATCCTTTGCAAAGTTTTCACACGACGTCGCAGCAAGCCCCGCCCCATCCAGTGCCATCCCCGGCGCAATCCTGCGTCAGTCCGGGTCCTTGCTCCGCGTGTTCACACAACGTCGCAGCAAGCCCTGCCCCGCCCCGCCCCATCCAGTGCCATCCCCGGCGCATTTCTGCATCATCCCCGTTCTTTTCAATTCCTTTTTTAAAAAGGAATTGAGTTGCCGCTGCCGGAAGCAATCAAGAGCCATTCCGGAATGATCCTGCTTTCACAGGTCTGAAGCTGCAGGATCCATTCTGGAATGGCTCTTGATTGCTTCCAGGCGGCTTTAAGACCCCAAGTGTGAAAACGTCCCAAGATAGTACCTAGCACCCTAGTTATAATATCAGTCCCAAAAGCTAGCTTCCTTGAGAGCATAGTGAGTAAAGTGCTCCCAATGAGACCCTTTTATTCACTGTGTCTCCCTCAGATTGCAGTCTGAGCCACATCCAGCTTTCCATAGTCACATCTCCAGGACAGATAAATATGACCCCTTTGCTCCACTAATCTCCACTATTCAGTTTCCATACTTCCATTTTGATTAGCTCTGAATGTTGTGTCTGTCTGAATTACATTCTTCTAGAACATAGCCTCACAGCCCGAGCCCACCCCCCCGAAAAACATAAAATCTATGAATTACTATTGTATGTTTGGTTGCAGTCTTGCACATTCCACAATAAAACCCTTCTTTTGTTCACCCCTTAAACATGGAGTCCTCCTCAGTTAGTACTGCTGGTATATATAGGTGGAAATGATCCTAAGATTATCTAGGCTCTCACAAGTGTCCTTTGGGCTAAAGCAATTACCTAAACTCTTAAAAGATGCTGAAACAGTTGGTGAGGACCCCCCCCAGTCCCCCCACCTTTTGGGGCAACACTTTTAAACTCTCCCTCAATTCAGACAAGGCTTATCTGACCTGGTCGTTTACTTTTTAAGTGCATATTGTTAGTTTGGAACAAAAAGTTGGCTGAAACATGTTGAACTGCTCTTCCTTGTTGCAGGGAAGTCTTTCCCTGTTATTTTTGCTTCAGGTATCAACTTTACTGTTAAATAAGTAATGTCCAAGAACTCATCTACTTTTTCGTTAATTGAGGTATACCTATAAAATACAATTCCTTTCCCCAATCTGACACCCTTTGATGTGTTGGATGATAGTCTCACCAGCACTATCTGATGGGAACTGATGGAAACTGCAGCAAAATATCTGTGTGCTGAGATTGGGGAAGTAAAGACCAAAATTGGAATCAAAATTGGAATCACGATATGCATCTGCGGAAGAAGACTGAAGTCTACGATACCTCATGCTCCCAACTTCTTTCTTTAGTCTCAAAGGTGCTACAAGATCTCTCTACATACTGATTCTACAGACTACCATGGCTATATCTTTCAACTGGAATTAAGAGTTCAAATGAATGTGAAGTCGAAGGCTTTCATGGCCGGCATCCAGTTTTTTGTGGGTTTTTTGGGCTGTGTGGCCAAGTTCTAGAAGAGTTTCTTTCTGACGTTTCGCCAGCATCTGTGGCTGGCATCTTCAGAGAAATGAACTTTGTTTTTTGTTTTGTTTTTTAAGAAAGAGGCACAAAGAAGACATCCACCTCACTCCATATCATTTTGGGTTCTGGAAAGACATTTTGAACCAGAATGGTCACAGTAATATTGAAACCCACAGAAAATCCTATCACCTGAAATGAAAAACAGATGAACCTGAGAGTATGGACTCTATCCTGATTTTCTTGTGAAATGCATCCTATTTGTTTGTTATTGTTGTCATTTCAGTTATTATGTCATGAGTCATTGGTTTTCATACTCTCATGTATTTTCTTTTTGATATACCAATTTAATACATTTTTTGGGGGGAATACATCTGCCTGTTACATACTTCCCGTTATGTATTTCTACTGAGTTTCTGTTTGCTATTGCATGCAGTGGTCACTGCAGTAATTTCGTATTAGGAAAAAAGAGACATGAGATGCAAGGAACGAATTTATAAGAAAAATGCAGGCTTGGAAGTCACCAGCATGGTTGGATTAGAACTGGAAGTGGCTGAGAACACAGGAATCTAAAGCATACATCCAGCTTTCCCTCACATGAATTGTGGCCGGAAAGGGCAGAATTCTGGACCAGATCCTTTCAGAGAATATGTGAGTCAGAGTGGCAAGGAGTGGCTTTCCTTTCTCAGGGCTGCCCAATATAAAAGAGGCAGTGTGATATATTGGTTATAGCAATGGTCTGAAGAGACACATGAATCCTCATCTCTTTTCTGTCCCGCCTTAAGCTTACTGAGTAAAGGCCTTTGAAGACTGCCAGAAATAGTGCACATTAAATTGAGGCACTGCCCTGGCTCAGTGCTAGGGAATCATGGGAACTGTATTTTTTTCCGGGACATTGAGCCTTCTCTGTGAGAGAGCTCTGGTGCCACAATAAATTACAGTTCCCATGATTCCCTAGCACTGAGCCAGGGCAGTGCCTCAATTTAATGTGCACTATTTCTGGCAGTCTGCTTAGGCCCTAAATGAGGGCTATATAGTCTGTGTCCCTGCAAATCTACCTTAAAAGGTTGTTGTGAGGATAAAAGTTGGGGTACGAGCCAGCATAGTGGTTTAAGCATTGGACTATGACTCTGGAAAGCAGGGTTTGAATCTCACTGGGTGACCTTGCGCAACTCACACTCTCTCAGACTAAACCCCTTCTGAACAAATGCTGCCCAGAAAACTCTGTGATAGGTTTGCCTTGAGCCAGTGTGGCATATTGGTTTGAGTGTTGGACTATGACTCTGGAGACTGGGGTTCAAGTCCCTGCTGAGTTATGAAACCCACTGGGTGACCTTGGGCAAGTCACACTCTCTTGGCCTCAGAGGACAGCAATGGCAAACCCCTTTTAAAGAAACTTGTCAAGAAAACCCTACGATAGGTTCACCTTAGGGTCGCCCTAGGTCAGAAACAAATTGCAGGAGCAGAACAACAACAGGAACAAATATTCGCCTTAGGGTTGACATAAATTGGAAATGACTTGAAGGGACACAACAACAACAACAACCGTGCATGCTTCCCTATAGGAATGGTGGGATAAGATTAAACAAAACAAAACAAGTCTAATGGAGGGGTGGGAGGGAAATGTGCTACTTAGCCTCCCCTCACCTGGTGAAGTGCTTGTTTACCATGTACAAGGTCTGGTTTTTCTTTCATTTTCCTTCAACCTAGCATGGCATAGTTACTTGAGCATTGGACTAGTGGCATCACTAGATGGGTGTGTATGTGTGAGTGTGTGAGTGTGTGCAGGGAAGGACATCACAGCCTTTAGATAGAAACGGGTTGGGGCATTCGCCTGCGTCCCTTTAAAATGCGGAAGAGATGGTGCGAACAGCTCAGTAGGAGGAACAAGGAGAGGCCCCAGGTTTTTATTTTTAAAAAATAAAATGTCAAAATTTCAACATTTTAAAATTTCAAAATAATTTTGAAATTTAATTTTGTTATTTTAAAAAATTCTTTAAAAACATCACATTTAACCAATTTTTCAGTTTAACCACATGAAACTAGGTAGAGAGATCTTGTAGCGCCTTTGGGACTAACTGAGGGCCGATACAGACGGCCTGTTTGGGGCAGCTCTTGGCTGCCCCTGGGAGCGGCAGATCGGGGCCGTGGCAACCACACGCCGCAGCCCCGGTCCTCCTTTTTGCCACCCCCAAAAGAGCGGCAAAATGCTGCTCCTTTGGGGGGAGGCAAAAGGCCGTCTTTTCAGCCACTGCTGCTGCTTTTTTGTGCCCTTTGGCACAGCGTGTGCACACACTGCGCCAAAAGGGCGTCCTGACGCCGCACGCTGTGTGTACGGGTGTGCGGTGTCAGGACGACGTCGGGGTGGAGTCAGGGCAGCCAGCGTGTGGCCTCCCCGCCACAACTCCATCCCTAGGCCGGCCCTTTGTGCAGGTCTGCATCAGCCCTGAAAGAAAGAAATTGGCAGCATGAGCTTTTGTAGACTTCAGTCTACTTCCTCAGGTGCAGTGGGTGGAGTGGAGACCAGGCACAGACTATATATGAGGATGTCAATTCAAATTACAAATTCTTAGTGTACGGAAATGAAGTGGCAGATCCAGCCTTAACAATGGCCATTAGTGCACAAAGACAAGAAACTGGTCTTTGTGCTTGAGGCTGAACTGGCAGATCCAGTTTAGTAATGGGAGTAGCCTGTGGTGAGAGGAATAGATGAATGTAGGGCATCCCTATGAGGATGGGGTCAGAGAGTGTTGAAGTGTGAGTAGTGAGGAAGGAACCCATGGTCTTTGTTCATCCCATTGCTGAGGGACTGTAGTTTGTGGATAAATTCCCATTCTGCTGATTCTCTTTCCAATCGACCTTTGTAGTCCTTTTGTTCAAGGACCACTGTTCTGAGGTCTGAGATTGAATGTCCAGGGAGATTGAAATGTTCTGCCACTGGGTTTTGTGTAGTCCCATTCCTAATGTCTGATTTATGTCCATTTATGCATCCGTAAATACATTCATTTGGTGCATAGGATATCGTGATTTCAGAGTATAATTTTAATTGTGCTAGTTGTTTATGTCACAGCTATTACCATTGCATTCAGGGATATATGGGAGTTGCGATTTATGAGTAACGTTAGTGCAAAATACATTGCCAAGGCTTCTGTATGGTGTGGTATAGAGGAGGTCAATGGAAGGGGGGCACCATGGGTTATTGCACCGGATGACACCAAACCTAGTGATGCCACTGTGTTGGACTGGGGACCAGGGTGCGATTCCCATCTTGGCCATGAAACCCACTGGGTGATCTTGGGGAAGTCACACACTCTCAGCCTCAGGGGAAAGCAATGGCAATCCGCCTCTGAACAAATCTTGCCAACAAAACCCCATGATAGGTTAACCTTAGGGTCGCCATAAGTCCAGGGGGACCAGAGGTCCTCCTTTTCTAAGACATGCCCTCCATTTCAACGTTCTATCCAGGAGGAATTCCAAAATGTCCTCCATTGTGAGCATGGCTAAGAAGCATGAATTTACATTTATATGAGTGTTGTTGTTTTTCTGGCTTTTCTTTGGTGATGTCCCTACATTTTTCTTGACTGTCCTATATTTTGGGGTGCCTTGTCCTCCTTTGTGGTTAGGACGTCTGGTCACCCTGCATAAGTTAGAAACGACTCAAAGGCCCACAATGCACAAACACATTCTGCCATCTTGGCGCACCATTCCCTCATCCTCTCTTGGACTGCATCTGCACTGCAGAAACAACCCAATTTGACACCATTTTAATTGCCATGGCTCCATGCTACGGCATTCTGGGCACTCTATAGTTTGTTGTGGCACACAAGAAAGTCTAAAGGTCTCACAAAAGTACAATTCCCAGGATGCCATAGGATGGAGCCGTGTCTGTCCAAAAAAGTAGTGTCAAACTGGATTATTCCTGCAGTGACAATGTAGCCAAGGTCCATATAACACAATGGAGGAATCATCCAGTTTGACACGACTACCTTGGACAGACATGGCTCCAGCCTATGGAATCCTGGGAATTGTAGTTTATTGTGGCATTAGAACTCTCTGACAGAGAAGGCTAAGTGTCTCACAAAACTACAGTTCCCAAAGTTCCCTAGCATTGAGCCGGAGTAGTTAAAGCGGCCTCAAACTGGATTACTTCTGCAGTGCAGAGTGGTTGTGGTCCAAAGCACACTGTTTATTCTTATTTATTTTGTTTATTTCTATCCCACCTTCCTCCCAACACAGGGACTCAAGGCGGCTAACAACTCTAAAACGGTAGAAGATAAAACAGTAGAAAACATTTAAAAAAATACAAAGTTTTTTTTTTAAAAAAACAATTAAACAATTAAAAACATTGATTACATTCTTAAAATTTTTTAAAAAATAAAAATTTAAAACTGCAGAAACAATCCAGTTTGGGACCACTTTAACTGCCCTGTGGAATTCTGGGAACTGCAGTTAAGGGCCAAAGGACTCTCAAAGCTTCACTTCCCAGGATTCCATGCGTCAAAAATGGGCTATGG